TCCATTAACAGGCACTCCGGCCTTGGGGGAGGGAGGGTAAGAGAGATACTGCTGGTGCCCTATCCCCATCAACTATGTAGCACACAGAGTACAGACAACTTGGGTTATATCCTCAGCTAGCGTAAGTCAGCCTAGCTCCTCTGACTTCCATTGAACTACACTCATTTACATCAATAGAGGATCTGGCCCACCATTTATCACTGGACATTTACCCCGAGGAGGTGCTAAAGGGACAGCCCTGCACACTGAAATCCTTGCTTTATTATCCAGAGAAGAAACACCACACAGCAGGGGGGCTGACAGAACTGCCAGGCCCCTGGGCAAGATGTGTGCATGGGGGAGTGGCCCTGGGCTCTCAGAAGGGTTGGGGCCTCAGGAAAAAGGGTTGGGAAAGATCTCTTCTGACAAAAGCTTCTTGCGCAAAAAGCCTGCAATCTAGACGTAGCCCCAAAAATCAGTAGGCACCACTAGAAATCTTGACCCAAACCTGACCTCAATAGGGAAAAAATAAAGTGTCTTGGTTTTCTTTAACCTCTTTCTAAAATCTCTGCAAGAGCACTATGGCCCTTTTGGTTCTTGCAGGGAACTAAAATCTCCGGCCAATGTCCTCTTGAAATATGATATGGGTTTTTTAAAAAACAATTTTATCTTTCTGGTGCGGCACAACCCACAAATACAAAAAGAGATTACAATAAACCACACACCTTGTCCAAAAATAATGAGATTAGAGATGGTGAAACAGGTTCAGAAGCCTTCTCTGGACAACTTACAAAAAGGAGCCATGCAAAACAAGATCACACCTGAGCATTATTATTTGGGAGCTTCAGGGGGTGGCTGAGTTAGTCTGTTACAGAAAAAAAACAGCAAGCAAATGGCCTGGTAGAGAAGGAACTTGAAAGACACTGGAGAACTGCAAATGAGAGCTGTATGCATGATGAGGCAGGCACAGGAGGGTAACTATATTAGGAAGCAGAAATGAAAGGGTGTTGAAGGGTTAAAGGGCTATATTGAGCACACACTGGAGACTAAATAGATTGGAGGGTAAAAATCCAATAAGGAGATCTAACAGTCAGGAGCCAGGCCCTGAAAGAATGAGGATGGTAATGTTAGCAGCCAAGGAAAGGATTAGAGTGTAGCAGTAAGAGCAGATTTACAGCTGGGCCAGAAGAACATGCCAAGTTTTTAATGAAAAAGAAATAAAAGAGGAGTTTTACCTGGAGATGAGTTCTAACTAAAACATCAGCTCTGGCAAAATTCAAGATCCAAATGTGGCGGCTGTAGTAGCCTGAACAGGTCCAAACTTCAAAGAAGTTTGAAACTAGATATAAACTTTCCAGTATGAGCCCTCCTCCCTCCATCTAGTTTACTCAAAAGGAATAAACAAGGAAAAATGAGTCATTTTGGGGGGGAACCCCCATCTTTTAAATATTCACCCACTGCAAAATAACAACTGAAAAGAACATCTAGCCTATTCCATTTCATTCCCAGCCAATGCAGAACTGAGTTCTAGAGTAAATTATCTAATGTTTGCAGTGGAAGGTCTATAGAGAAAACCAAAGGGATGTAATGATGGGAAAAGCAGTCCAGTGTTATTGCGGTCTGGAAATGGCAAAATACCCAGACAGCCCACAAAAACAGGCTACATCATTAGCTCTTTAGAAGAGAAAGGGAGAACTGTCTGTATACAAATTATGAAGAGAGAAAAAATAAGCCGATTACCCATAGTATGCAGTGCCAATTACTTAAGCAAACAGGATCAGGAAAGTTGGCACAGCTAGAGGCTGTGAAACAAGAGAGACTGGGCAGAGGGGAGGGCTAAGAGGCAGGTAATCTGATCAGCTGGCCACAGTTGTCAGTGCCACAAATACAACCCTTTCCCATGGCACCATTGCACATAGCTAACTGAAAACCACTTACCTAAACATAAAGATGGACAAAGGAGGCAAAGTGTGGGTCTGAATCCAAACAGACATTAGGTTTCCCTTCAGGCCCATTAGAGGGACCTGGATCAGACTTTCCCCAAATTTCTGCAGCAGAGGAGAGAGTATCTAGGCATAGGATTCTGGTGCAGGCTGACTTCTCCATGTGCTGATTGTTGTGGGGTGAGAATGTTAGAAAGCTGCATTCTGGTGTCTGTGACCAATGACCCAGGCACACAATCCTGGCATCACTGAATGGCTAGTGTGTGTCAAAGGGGCATAATAGCCTCCCTAAATAGAGGTTACAATACAATGCACATGGCTCATTCTCCGAGCCAGAACAGCATGGGAAGCTGCAGAACACAATTCTGCTCACATTGTCCCACCACAGCTGGCAGACAGGGACCACCTCTGAGGGCCTTGCTTTATCAGGTTAGGGCAGCAGTCAAAGGCAGTCAAAGCTCCTATGATGATGACCACATCAGGTCTTTGTGTACAGGTTGCTATGTCTTATCATGCATCAATCTGATGAGTCATTGGCATGAGGAATTATTACTATTTTCCTTTCCCCACTTCCAAGGCAGCTTCACTGAGAATCCCAATGACCAGTCAGGTACTAAGGCCATCTTTGTAAAGCTGCTTAGGATCCATAAGTCAGTGGGGAATTGCTGCTGTCCAGCACTTCTGGAAATCAGTCTCTCATCCACATCACAGTGGAGAACTGTCCTGTTTTAGCTAGAAGATGGAGCATAAAGCTTCAAAGGTCTTCTTTTCCAGCTCTCATTCCTATGAGATCCACTCTCCCTCCAAAATGACCAACACTTGGCTTTTATTTTTCTACTAAATAATCTTACAGATTTACAGCTAAGTAGCATTATGCTTTGTGTGCATTATTGGCTATGATTTAGATCTACTTCTGGCCAGAAGCAGCCCAGACTACAACATGAACAAGCAAAAGCGCCATTTACATTTCAGACGATGCAAACACAAAGAAGGATAAAATCTTGCTCAAGCCAAATGTTAATTAGATGGCACAGTCCCTTAGTAGGCTTTGTACCCCCTCCTGTTGGGATTAAGGAGAGGGGTGTGAGGACCAGCAAGCTGAATGGCTGGCAGTTGAAAGTTAACATTAGGTCAACAAGCCCTTTTCTCTGCCACTCAAATCTAGGGGGAGGGGGAAATAACCAAAGGCTCGCAGGGCTAACATTTAACAAAAAGAATTCTCCTCTTTTGAGCCTCTGATAGTCTAGCAGAGATTAACTGTCTTTCCCCCCTCATTGTTAGAACTGGGCATAAAGGCATAACACCCCTAGTCTGCCAAATTGATTCTAATTTATAATGGTTCTGCTGATTAATCAGCCTGATGCCGTTGCTTTCCAGACCCAGCTAACACCTGAATCTATGCTGGGAATCCAGCCCATGTCTCCAAGATGAAGAACATAAGAAGAAAAAGCTAAGCCATGATTTTTCTCCCCCTCAAAGCTGACTAGTCTCTCTGATGGAATAGGACAGCCTACCCATTGCATCTCTGACTGGTGATCTAGGCAATCTGCCCATATGTTGACTTTACAATTTGCATAGACTCAAATGTCCCCGGTTCTTATTAATAACATAAAGAGGGCTTCACCTAAACAAAGGAAGAGATCTGCAAAAAGCATAAGGTTTGGGATGCCACTGTCCTAAAATAAATAAAAAAGAAACTGAAACCCCAGTTTTAAGATCCATCCAGGAAATAGAAATTGTTTGTCCTGCTTCAGAGCCATTGATTTCAGAGCTGCATGCCCCAGTCACTTTGAAATCAGCCATGATTTAGGTAGGAAGCATTACTTACCTCCCTATGTATTTTTAACTGAAAAGATCTTGCAAAGTCTCATTCCCAGTGTTCTACCTCGGTGAGACAGATGTGAATTCTGACTCCCAGAAAATAAATGCCTCCTGGATTTTGTGAAGACCTGGGCAAATTTGCTACTGTGACTGAAGATGGCAACTTGTTATCAACGTTATCAAAGGTCCAAGGTGGACACAGGAGTTCTCTCACTATGATCTAATGCAAAGGTGGGGAACCTATTTTGGGTCGGGGGCCACTGACCCACAGAAAAATCACTCTGGGGCCACACACAAATGAGAAGAAAAAAGAAAAAGAAAAAAAAAGAAAAGAAAAGAAAAACCCCAAACCCCCTCACTGATGTGGCCCCGCACTGAGAAGAAGAAAGATACTCCCCACTCCCTATCAAATAGATTTTGTATGCTCCAGCCCCATGGTGGGGGCTGGAGTGCCAGCATGGGCTCCTCGATGTTAGGGGAGGTCCTGAGCTTTGGGGGCCATATCCAGACAAGTCAGGGGCTCCATCCGGCCCCTGAGCCTTAAGTTCCCCACCCCTGATGGAACAGACAGACAGTATGGGGACTTGTGAGAGGAAATGACCTAGGATAGGAGCGCTCCGTTAGAAAATGATCTGCATAAGATAAAAAATAAGAGAGACCCAGCAATACAAGTGTAATACTGCATGCAGCATTCGGTACTTACAGTCATCCTCCCGCATCTCTTTTCTCTAGCCAGCCAGTTCCAGGGCCTGCAGGATTTTTCTGGAAGATAGAGAGATTTTGTCTGTTTATTAAGTTATTCGGAGGCCTATGAAGTTCTTTCCCTCCCCAGCTTTGTTTAGCCCCATCATGCACAGGGCCCTGTGATACCAGGAGTCAATGCAGCCATATCACAGCATCCCATTGCAGCGTATGAGATGGCTGCAACTCCAAATACTACAGACATGGATGCCAGCTCCCTTGGCATGTGCTGCCTACAGAGCTGGCATAACCACAGCCACGGGGTTAATCCATCCCATTACCTACAGAGCAAAGAGAGACCTGTCTCTGGTCCAGTCATCCTGCTAGTCCCATGCCTAGTTCCTCCCCGGATCTGTCTCCCACACACAGTGAATGCAGATCACCTATGTTTGTTTGTCCCTTCTGACCTAGGCTGACTTTGCTTTACGCTCTCCAAACATGGCTCTTTCTTGCCACGCTGCCTCTCAGCAACAGGTTTCAGGGATCTGCCCCTCCCTTGAGCGCTGTTGCTATGGTGACATCAACAGAGACCTAAGCAGGCCCCAGGGACAGAGTGACATGCAGCCAATATGATTATGATCACAAAGCCCTCTGAGGCGAAGGAGCCGGCAGCTGGTGAGTTATAGGGACATAGCTGTGTGGGACAGGCACCTGTGCAGTGCCATCTGCTTGGGATGGGAACATTCACAACCCAGCCTTAGCTACATAGGAGACCCTCTTGATTCGCTCTTTGCAGTTCCATATATTCACCGGGGGAGGGTCTCCTGTCCCGGTCTGGGGTGGGGTGAGGTGGCGGGGGCTGGGAGCTGCAGGGAACTCACCATCGGGGCTGGGAGCCGTGGCTCCCAGGATTCACAAATTTCGCCATACGCGGTAGTGTCAGGAACTAACCTCACTGCGAATGGTGAGGGTTTCCAATACATCTGTATTCAGATGTAGCCATTAGGAAAAGACAGAAATGAATTTAATCACAATGACTAATCTTTGTATAGACTATTGGACTATTCAGTGGCATGTGATCATTTCCCTGCTATGGAAGTATGCCAACAAACCTTCAGAAAAGTTACCATTTTCTCTTCAATGCTACAGTTTATTTTGGAATACATTAATTGCTATGGAACCCCATTAGATTTCCATACAACCCTTTTACATTCTATAATCTGTTTCCCTTAGGAAATTTACATTAGTAAGGGCTATGTTAATATTTAGCACTTACATAGTGCCTTCCTTCAAAGGATCTCCAAGCTCCTCACAGAGGTGACTCGGCATACTTATGCCTATTTTATAAATGGGGAAATTGAGGCACAGAGATTAAAGCCACTGATTTGTTAATACCTCTCTTTTTGGATGTCCAGCTTGAGACACGTTCATCCCAATTTTGCCAAATGTTGAGAACCCACAATTCCAATTGCCACCTACAGGACTCGTGGGTGGTGAGCGGCTCTATAAATTGGGCCTAGAGTGCTTTGACATGGACACCCAGAAATGAAGGCTCCCAAAAATCAGTGGCTGTGCTTAAAAACATATCTGACAATGATTTCTCCAAGACCACAGAGCAAATCTGCAAAACAGTTGGTATTAGGAACCGGGTCTCCTGCCTCCCACTCCTGAGTCTCCCATAATACTGAAAAAAACTCAACAAGCACAATAAACATGGAAAAACCTTTCAATATGTCATTGTATAGCAGGAAGGTGGAGAAAAAGGCCACCATCACAGAACTCATAGAAGAGACAGTGACCGGGAAGCCACTTTACAGGGGAGAAGTCAGTGACCTCACAGAGATCTGCCTACACATGAACCAATCAAGAGCAGTTCTAGGCCAAACCTCTGCAAGGCAACAATCTAAAGTATCTTGCAAGCCATCCATGTACCTACCAAGGCCTTGTCCCCTTATTATTATCTCTTTCTTTTATCATAGTAGTGCTGCTTTAGATCCATCAATTATACAGTCAGAAGGCATCACTACAATCATCTAGAACAGTTATATTTTAAAATATCTTTTAAAAGATAGGTGGCTCTGAGATTTGTGCTGAGGTATGCTTGACCCCTAGCTTTTAAAATATTTGTGCTGGGGTATGCTTGACCCCTAGCTTTTAAAAGATAGGTGGCTAGATTCTGGCTATGCTGTAATAGGTCAGTATATTGAGTCCAGACACCACAAAGTCTTGTTTCTCCGAACTTTACTGTCAAGACATCTGAACGCTGGAGCCTTACAATTTCTAATTGAAAAGTACTGTACTTTCATCAGCTGAATCAAGAATGCTCTTTGCTTTGAAAGGGCAAGTTCCATCAGCAGAGAAAACAAATAGATCTGGAACCAATGAAAGCAACTCTTTTGGAATTTGAATATTCTCAAAACACATTTTAAGTTTTTCGGTCATATAGTTTAGGAATTCTTGCATCATTTTCAATGAAGTTTCACCAGTACCAACCACTCATAATGTGGGATAGTGTGACGTCTTTCCCGTTGGGTTTGTTTGAAAGATTTCAAGATTCCTCAGAAAGACACACACTTTTTGGAAATGCAGCTTGTCTCGCCTTGAAGCTGCAAGATAAGGAAGTCAAGTGACCAGTAATATCACACAGAAAAGCTACCTGTGACATAGAGGGGACATCATTCATAAATTCCAGGAACTCACAAGCCTTATTGGTCTATTATTACTTTCTGAAGCTTGTAAAACTTCTCTAACATGCGCCCCCTACTTAACCAGCAAATGTTGTTGTGCCGCAAAAGGTCAGTGTATTCCACTGAAGCATCTTGTAAAAGAGCTTTAAAAAGCTGATATTGCAAGCTAGAAGTTGAGCATATGTGGCTCAGTAATTTCATCACCATACCCATTGCTTTTTTCAAGTCCCCAGACAGTTTTACCACTAGTTTGATGAACGATGAAGTGAAGTATATTTAATGAAGGGTGTATCTCTGCCAAACATGAAGCAAAGCCCTTCTATCTCCCTGCTGTGGAGGGACCTCTGTCTAAAACTAGCAAGTTTACTTTCTGAAGATCTAAACCATTTTTTCCCCAAAAAGTCTTGCACCTTTTCAAAAGTGATCTCTCCTGTTATGTAGGGTCCTAATGGTATTAAATATAAAAGTCCTTCCTTGAAAAGTTCACCATCATAAAATCTAACAAACAGCAATAACTGGGTAGTGTCATTTAAAATGCTTGAGTTGCCCACCACACAAGACATGTATTTGGCATTTTTTAGACGGCAAAGCAGTGCTGACAAATAATCCTCATAAATTACCCACAATTTTTGCTTTGCTGTAGAATCAGAGAGGGGAACTTGCCTCACGCAGTTCCAGAAATGCTGATTTTCTAATGTGCTGGTGCTGGGGTACGCTTGACCCCAGCGCTGCCCCAACACCACTCCGTTACCCCACGTCCTATTCCTGCCTTGCCTCTTCTTGCTCCTCCATTCCACCTGTTCTCACTCTGTCCCCTCCCGCAGTGCCTCCTGCCTGCTGCTGAACAGCTGATCGCGGCAAGCAGGAAGCACAGTGAGGGAGGGGGAGGAGTTGATCAGTGGGGCTGCCAGCAAGTGGGAGGCCCTGGGGTAAAGGGGAGGAGCTGATGGGGAGGCTGCCAGTGCATGCTGAGCACCCACCTCTTTTTTTCCTATGCTCCTGATAGTGTTGCAGAATGTGACTAGAGCACCCACAGAGTCGGCCTATGCACAATGCCATCTTTGTTTTAATCTGCCCAGAAGCTCCTCCAGTATTCCCAACATGCACGCCTTCAGAAGCTCGGTGTCCAGGAGAGGCTCTTTTCTTTTTCCCTAGTACCAGAGACGTGTATTTGGCAGCTGTTGCTTTCTCCTGTACAGTTGCTAATGTGAGAACAACCGTTGAGTGTCACACAAAGATTTCATATTTTCAATTTTGTCACCTTTTGCAACACGCCTGAGAGTACAGGCTGTGCTGAAATCACTGTGCTTTGATTCAGAATTGTGCCTCCCACTGACGGCCTTGTAGATGAATACAGGGTGGAGCTTGGAGTATTAAACACATCGAGTTTGTGTTTAAATGAGGTGATGTAATAAAGAGAAAATTGGCCGTCCGGTTTGGGTTAAAAGCTCAGTGTTCACTGTCAACTTTGCAATGTTCACTCCCACTCACATTCAATTTTTGGCTCTGTTTCCATCACTAATGAAAAAATTGGCAGGTGTAGCATTCTCGCTCAGTCATAGTTATTGCTGTTGCAAGAACCTAAGATGCAGTAAGCAGCGCTTAATTTATATCAGGGTGTTTAGACCAAGTTAGTAAGTTAATCAGTGCAGATACTTCTAGTACCTAGTACCTCAGGTACCTCTAGTGTAGATAATGAACCTGCCTCCCAAAGGCAGTAGCTAGATCAATGATGAGCAACGTAGGCTAGTGAGTGGGTCACAGGCATGGCCCTCCTTCATCTCAGTGAGCCACTAGATTGTTATAAGCAAGACCATCTCCTGGGAGAAGGTAGTTTTGCTAACTGTGTTTGCGTACCTAAAATTCATGGGGTGAGCCAATTGAACCATAGCAGTACTTTGATTGGATATAGAGGGAGCGCCCGGCTCTCACAGTCAATGTTGTGTGCATTCAGCACGCACCTCACTTCACATGTCCTTGCTCTGCGTGTGTGTCTCTTTAGAAATACCTGTAGGCAAAAAACTACACACATGGAAACCAGCATAATCTGGCAACCTTGCGCGTGGGCAAAGGTAAACAAAATGTCTCGTGGGCCACACATAGTGCCCCAGTGTGTTGCATGCCACCTGTGGGCCACAGGTCCATCACAAAACTAGACACTCATGGTTGGCCTGTACCAGTCAACTCAGGCTCACAGGGCTTGGGCTGTGGGGCTACTTCACTGCTGTGTAGACTGCTGGACATGGGCCAAGACCCTGCAAGATGGGAGGGCCTCAGAGCTTTCGGGAAGCAGTCTGAGCCGAGCCCAGAATTCTAAACAACAGTGAAACAGCCCTGCAGCCTGACCCCAGTGTGGGTTTTCCTTACTGTGTAGCTATTGCCCCAAGAGGCGTTACATTCTGGGGCTTCACTTGGCAGGTCATTCTGTGAGCTAATTGACTTCTCTGAGCTAGTATGCTTCCTACCTGCTAACACAAAGGCTTCTTCTTTTCTTCATTGCAGAATCAAGTTATACAGTAACTGTTTGGAGCTGGTGAGAAGAGCCAGAGAAAGAATGAATAGGTAAGTATGGAGGCAGAAAGTAATAGCAATGGTAGGGAGGAGGCAGGAGGAAATTAACTCCTTTTTCTGGTCTCACCCTCATAGGTTCTATGTGTGTGGCCCATAAGACATTTCATTTACTGTTGCCTGTGATGCCACTGGCTTCCATCTGCATAGTTTTTTTTCCCTATCAGTATTACTAAAGTGACACAGACTTAAAGCAAGGGCACATGAAGTCAGGCGCATGCTGATTGCACACAACATTGACTGTAAGAACCGTGTGTTCTCTGTGCAATCAAAAGCGCTGCTATGGTTCAATCTGTGCATCCTGCAAATTCTAGGCACACAAGTGCAATTATCAAAACTACTCAATCTTAGGAGACCATCTTGGTTAAAGGAATCTTGCGGCCCACTGAGATGAACAGGCACCACTCATGAGGCCCACTAACTAGCTTAGGTTGCCCATTGCTGATCTGTTCTATCTTGCATTTAGTGGGAAACTCTGTGTTCCTTTCCCAGACCTGAAGAACTCTGTATAGCTAAAAAAAATCCCTCTCTTTTAAAAACCACAAGTAGTTCTGTAGCACCTTAGAGAGTCACAAAAATATATAAATCTGTTATTTCCACTCTGGCTCATCTGATGAAGTGGGCTTTACCCATGAAAGCTCATAATACTATATATTTTTAAGAGTCTTAAGGTGCCACAGGACTAATCGTTTCTAAAGATACGGATTAACACAGTAACTCCTCTAAGCAGGGCCGGCTTTAGGCCGATTTGCCTGATTCCCCCGAATTGGGCCCTGCGCCTAAAAGGGACCCGTGCCCTAAAGCAAGAAGGCGCTGCGCCTTAAATCCGGAAGTGTGCTGGTGTGCCAGGCGTGCTGCGGGAGGGGGCATTGGCCCCGGAGGAGCGCAGCAGCTTCTGTGCACTGCAGGAGGGGTGAGTTGAGTGCAGGGATTTCTCTGTGCTGTGGGAGGGGGAGTTGGCCCCTGGGTTTGGTGGGAAGGTGGGACTCTGGCCTGTAGCTGGTGATTTAAAGGGGCTATGCCTTTTTTGTGTGTGTGCTGGTTTTTTGTTTGCTCAACCAACATTTTTTTCGGTCAACAAAAAATCCTGGCTGCTGGGGCCCCGTCGAAATGGTTCGAATTGGGCACCGCACTTCCTAAAGCCGGCCCTGCCTCTGAGATTCTTTTAAGTTGGTTCAATAAAATATTACCACACCCACCTGGTTACACACAGGGTTTTTGTCTGTGGATAAGTACGTCTACTAACAGCCACTGATAAGATGCTGGACTAGATCTGCACTGTTCTGATTCTGCCCTTAGTGACGGAGACAGGAGAGTCTAAAATGAGAAGGAAATCATGGCAAGCTTCTATGTAATCACAGCTATTAGCTAAACTAGTCAGAAAATGGACAGAGCTGCTTTGGGCACCTGCCAAATGCAGCCATGAACGTACATCAATGAGGCTGTTGTGGAATGGGGTGGGTGGTATTCATGAAAATCCTGTGAGGTATGTCCTGCAGTTCTTCCTTTTACTTCAAAGGAAAGGTTATCTGACTAAAAACCAAAGAAGGATTTCAGAATTTTACCCAGAAGGTTAAAAGTCCAGAGATCATTGCAGGATTTTGTTTGTGTTTTCAATAACCTGCTAAGAATCTATCTAGCCTGGAATTTTATGGTAGGGGATAGAGAGCTAATCCAATTAAAAACACCTTAGTTTGTGTCACATTGATGTTGATTTAGTGAAGCCCAGGCAAATTATCCCAAGGAAACTGCAGAATAGGAACAGCAGACAGTCACAGTAAACTTTACTCCAATAGCTCCAGTTTCTCAAATTCTAAAATACCACAAAGCCACATTAAGGGATCCAGCAAAAGATATTTCTTTGTAAATTTGTCTCCAACACCAAATGACCCAAGTCTCAGTAGCTAACTTCAGCAGCATTCTTCCTGATTTACATGAGGGACAGTGCAAAGAAAATCAGTCCTACAGAATTAGGAGACCTGTGGTCTATTCCTGACTAACTTGGGTGGCTTATTTTGCACAGGTCAGAAGTAGTCAATGATTTGAGGTACCCTCAGTTTGAGCAAACATCAGCAGTCCTTCAGAAAATGTTGGTCTTCAGGGATTTGTACGTCAGAGCCCCCATTGATGAAATGGGGGTAATAACCCTTGCAACTCTTTGTAAAGCATTTTTAGTTTCCATATATCTATATATAGATATATGCAAGTGTTATGAAGTAGTGCTTCAGAGGGCATGCACAAATCTCAGAGCAAGGAAGCCATTTAGCATACCCCCACCACAGTGATACAAAAAGTGGATTTCACAGGGCTCTTTGAAACCTCCTCAGCTCAGTGCAATTAAATCCTTACTCTGTTCTTTAAACAAGACAATGAAATAATCGCATGGGGCTTAAGAGGCCCATATCCATACACAACGGAGGTGAGCAAACAGTGATAAAACACCATAATGAGCTTAAGATCAGGTCATGGGCTGGCTCCACCAGGCTACATCTCTATTGACAATTTCAGGGAGATCGCTCATCTTTCCCCCAGAAAGGAATAGGAAGGGTGAGAGTGCTGGCACATTGGGGCCGTGGTCCATGACTAGGGCCCTTGGTACTACTGTAAAAGAGATACATAACAATTACAGTATAGCCCTGATGCAGGTACTTTTATCTCCATGTTGCCTAGACCTTCACAGATCAGGTCTCGATAACATGGTAAAAAACAGCCATGACTTGTAACTGTCCCACTATTGGACCCAGTGGTGAGAGATTTCCCCCAAATAGCTGCTGTAGACAAGGGCATTAAATGATTCCCATCCGTTGATGCCAAAGACACAGGGCAATACACCTTCATTCTCAGCTTCTACAAATGGTCTTTTAATTTAAAGGTCAGCTAATTGTGGTTTAGCCCCTTCACACATACTCCCAAGGAAAGAGATAGGAACAAGAACCCCATCACCACCTAAGGTGGGTGGGGGGTAATTTTTTCGGGGGGCAGGGGGAAAACATAGTTAATTTTTGTACATGGTCATGGACTGGCTCCACCAAGCCCCAGAAGGGGTGGAGTCTGAGCGGAAGGGGCATGGCTGGGGATGTGTCGCCCCTGCAGAGTTGTCTGGGGCTGGAGGCTTTGAATTAAAAACACAGCAAAGAGCTCGTGGCTCCCAGTCCTGCTGCTACCTCGTTGCCTGGCAGCCGCTGGGGGTTGCTGCAGCTATTTAAAGGGCTTGCAGCTGGGGTAGTGGGAGCTGGGAGCCATTTAAATAGGATTTTGCTGCCTGAGCCAGCACCTGGAAATTCAGTGGCATGAGCAGCAGGATATAAGTAGAAAGCAGCCAGATGCAACCTGCGGGCCGGATCAAAGTGTTAGGGGGGCTGAATCCGGCCCCGGGCTGTATCTTGCTCAGCCCTGACCTAAGGTTTTCTCTTCTCTGCTACACTAAGTGTGGGTTTACCACTGCATAAGTAACAGGTATTAGCTATCCCATAGAAAAAAACCAGTGGAGATGACAAACTGTAGACAAGGTCAATCCAGATAGGAGGTGAGGTAGCACTGACCTCACTTAGCTAAACTGTCTTGTGGTAAACACCACAGGTGCCCATCTCCACTAGGATTTTACAGCAAGATAACTGCTCATCTCACTCCAAAAGCACTCACCTTTTCAGCAGTGAAGACACAAACTTAATCGACCACAGATGTGGGCAGATGCAAAGGAATCTGCAATGTGGCCAAAGCTCATGACAGCGTTGTGTGTACTTATGTAAGGCAAAGGCAGGACCCTGCCCTGAGTAAGAATGCGGAGACTGTAAAGCACTCAGCAACAATGGCTGCTTCCAAACATTTTACCTTTCTAATTACATGTCACGGACTTTAATGAGACACCAAGGTACCATGTATGCTCTTTTATAAGCCATAAGCTAAACCCTCCACTTTGTACGGGTAGGGCTCAGTGCCTTGAATTCAAGGCTTTATAAGAATTCCTATGCTCCCTCTTACCCTCCTGCTCTCTTCCAAAGGGGACAACAGCCCACAAGCTCCTACTTCTTGCTTCCCTATGCCCACAGTCCTAAAGATTGCAGCTGTGTGCAAAAGCTGACTGGCCAGAGTCTTTCTCCACAAACCTCCACTAAAGCAGAGTCTGGTGGAGTCTGCCAACTTGTGTGGACTCCGTTGTGATCATTATAATACAGCGGAGGGTCTTCACAATTGTAATGCTAATCAATCAGAAGATACATGGTGCAGAGCACTTCAGATACCAACCAAAGAGCAAAGGGTCACAAACGTCAAGGTTTCCCTCCTCTTCCTTCCTTCCCTCCTCTTCCTTCTCATAGGCAAAAAAAAAAAAAAAGCACAGCACAGAGTCAGGACCCTGAGCACCTATGCTCCCTCTTACCCTCCTGCTCCTGTTTTGCTGACAGAACGCTCCACAGCAAAGTTTGCTTGATCTTCAGTCCCAGGCAATGACCTTGTAACAATTCAAGTTGAACCTCTCTAGTCTGGCACCCTTGGGACCTGACTGGTGCCAGACCAGAGACTTTGCCAGACCAGGGGAAGTCAATATTGTCTAGCAGCATTACCAGCACCTCCACTGCTTACTGGGCTCTTTGAAGACATTTAGGGGTAAATTAGAACTAAATAACAGCACAGAAGACTGAGCGCCAGGACTCATGTCTGTAAACAAACTTTATGGGACCGCAGGAAATTTGGCCACACCCACGATAATTGGACATCTGGCTAACTAAAACGTTGCTGGACAATGGAAGTTGCAGACCAGCAAGTGCCGAACTAGAGAGGTTCAACCTGTATTATTGCTTTGAGCCAGTAATGAGATCTTCCAGGAATTACCAAACAAAAAGTGTAATCTCCCAGAAAGATCCTATCACTTCCACCACCAGCCCACTCTGTATTCCTGACTAAGACTTGGGAACAATCAAGAAAAAGACTGACTCTCCTTCTACCTCAGGAAGAATCCATCCCGCTCTTTCCACAAGACTCAGTGCACATTAGGA